GTGCCCCCAAAGAGATCATCTGTTTCAAATGTATAACTCATTTTGAGGAGGAACAAGATGAGGGTGAAGATGAAGCCTGCAGCAGTAGATCATCCACATCAATTTGCAAGCAAAAAAAATTTATCGTGTTCATGCCCTAATTGGAGAGGACCAACAATCAACAGTAGAAACAATAGCAAAACACTATAGATATATCAGTTCATTCAACTTGCATAATTCTGACGGAAAAATTAAGGTGGAATAAACTTCCTGCTCAGTGGTGTCACATTCATTGTGCCCAGATCAGCTACAGACAGGAACAAATCTTGCGATGGAAATTTGAAACATGTGGCATCAAGAGCCTGAAGCAGGGGCTGGCACTATGGCATAGCAGGTAAAGCTGCAGCCTGCAGTGCCAGCATCCCATTCAAGCACTGGTTCAAGATCCAACTACTCATCTTCCAATCCAGCTCTCTGCTATGGCCTGGGAAGGCAGTAGAAGATGACCCAAGTCCTTGGGCCCCTGCACACACATGGGAGACCCAGAGGAAGATCCTGGCTCCTGGCTCCTGGCTTTGGATTGGGGCAGCATTTGGGCAGTGAACCAGCGGATGGAAGACCTCTCTCTCTCTCTTGCTGCCTCTGCCTCTCTGTAACTCTCTCTTTCAAATAAATAAATAAGTCTGAAAAAAAAATATCCTGAAGCATTTCTTCAAAAACTTGAAGCATGGCTTCACTAGTAGGATCTGGACTATAAAGCACAATCACAACAGTGGTACAAAGAAGTAGAAGTGGTCCAGTCAAAGCAAAAGCAGACCAGTGAAGAGCAAAGGTGGTGGCAACAGTTTTTTGAGATACTCAAGGGATTTTCCTTGTTGGCTTTCTGGAGGACCAAAGAATGATAACATTTGCTTATTAGGAGAGTGTTTTGAGAAAGTGAGTGAAAGGTTTAGAAGAAAAATAACTAGAAAACTTCACCAGAGAGTCCTTCTCTGCCACAACAATGTTTCTGCTCATTCCTTTCATTTATCAAGGGTAATTTTTATCAGAGTTGCTATAGGAAATCATTAGGCAGGGGTCGGCGCCGTGGTTCACTTGGTTAATCCTCCGCCTGCAGCGCTGGCATACCATATGGGTGCCGGGTTCTAGTCCCAGTTGCTCCTCTTTCAGTCCAGCTCTCTGCCATGGCCCGGGAGGGCAGTGGAGGATGGCCCAAGTGCTTGGGCCCCTGCACCCACATGGGAGACCAGGAGGAAGCACCTGGCTCCTGGCTTCGGATTGGTGCAGCGCAAGCCATAGCAGCCATTTGGGGAGTGAACCAATGGACCTTTCTCTCTGTCTCTCTCTCTCACTGTCTATAACTCTACCTGTCAAATAAATTTAAAAAAAAAAAAAAAAAAGGAAAGCATTAGGCATCCACCTCTCACACTCCTGGTTGGCTGCTTTTAACTCCTTATTCCTTTTGGTTTTCTAATTTTAAAAAATGTTTAAAGGGCACTGATTTTTCTTTACTTACTAATCTACAAAAAAGACTGCATTGACATGGTTAAAGTCCTAGATCCTCAGCCCTTGGGGATGTACTAAATTATATCATTGCTTATACAAGTATCTTGAACTTGATGGAGCTTATGTTAAAAAATGAAGTTTACAATTTTTAACTTTACTAAAATATGTTTACTTATTTGAAATGCAGTAACAGAGAGAGAAGGAGAGACAAACCATTTCAGAGAGACAGTTTCCATTCACTGGTTCATTCTCCAAATGCCCACAAGAGCCAGGTCCAGGCCAGGCCAGAACCAGGAGCAAGGAATTCCATCCAGGTCTCTCCTGTGGGTGGCAGGAGCCCAAGGAGTTGGGCCATCACCTGCTGCCTCCCAGAATGTAGGTTAGTAGGGAGTTGGAAGTGGAAATGGAACTGAGGCGCAATCCCAGGCACTCTGATACAGGATTTGAAGGTCCCAAGCAGTGATTTAACCATTGTGCCAAATGCCTGCCTCCCTTTTACACTTTATTTCCAATGCAGAGAGAGAGGGAGTGAGAGAGCATACTTAATTGTTTTCTATTTTCATTTCATTTAAAAAGCAGAGTATTCTAAATATTTTAACCCAATTGTCTTGTTAAACCTTTACAGCAATCTCATTATTATTATTCTCATTTTAGACATGTAACCCTGAGGCACAGAAGGCTGCAGTTAACCTGTGTCAGCCCTGGATTTAAGCTCAAGCATTGTGTATTCACAAAGCTTGCATATGACCCACTGTGCTGCAGTTTTTAGCATCTCTCTTTTTTCCTAAACCATTTAGTTTTCTTAAATTTGTTGTAATTTTTATTTTGAAATATTTTAAATAATACAGAAAAGTTCAAAGAATTCAATGAGCAGAAATATATTTACAATTTTTACCATTTGGCTCCATTTACTTCATATATAAGCATAGTATGTATATACACATGTACTATCATTATTTTTGAAAACAGAAGTAGATGAATTAATATTACATAACATGGAATGTCTCTTTAAAAGTTTGTCAGTGGGGCCAGCACTGTGGCTTAGCAGGTAAAGCCACTACCTGCAGTGCCAGCATCCTATATGGGCACTGGTTCGAGTCCCGGCAGCTCCACTTCCAATCCAGCTCTCTGGTATGGCGTGGGAAAGCAGTAGAATATGGCCCAGCCAGCGCCGTGGCTCAATAGGCTAATCCTCTGCCTAGCGGCACCGGCACACCGGGTTCTAGTCCTGGTCGGGGCGCCGGATTCTGTCCCGGTTGCCCCTCTTCCAGGCCAGCTCTCTGCTGTGGCCAGGGAGTGCAGTGGAGGATGGCCCAAGTACTGGGGCCCTGCACCCCATGGGAGACCAGGATAAGTACCTGGCTCCTGCCATCTGATCAGCGCGGTGTGCCGGCCGCAGCGGCCATTGGAGAGTGAACTAGCAGCAAAGGAAGACCTTTCTCTCTGTCTCTCTCTCTCACTGTCCACTCTGCCTGTCAAAAAAAAAAGAAAGAAAGAAAGAATATGGCCCAAGTGCTTGGGCCTCTGCACTTAAGTGGGAGACCCAGAAGAAGATCCTGGCTCCTGGCTTTGGATTGGCCCAGCTCCGGACATTGGAGCAATTTGGGGAGTGAACCAGCAGATGCAAGACCTCTCTACGTCTCTCTGCCTCTACCTCTGCCTCTGCCCCTGCCTCTGCCCCTGCCTCTGCCCCTCTGTAACTCTGCCTTTCATATAAATAAATAAATAAATCTTTTTTGTAAAGAAAGTTTGTCAATGTGTATACATGAGCCAAATAACTACCATAGTGATTTCTCAATGACTTTGAAATTATTTGCTTTTAGAGCAAGCATTGACCTAGCAATTAAGATGCGGCTTAAGATGCCCATATCCCACAGTGGAGTGCCTGGATTCAAGTTCCAGCTCCATCCTCTGGATCTGGCTTCCTGCTACTGTCAGCCAACCCTGGGAGCCAGCAGATGACAGCTAAAATAGTTGGTTCCCTGCCACCCACATGGAAGAACTGGATTGAGTTCCCAGCTCCTGGCTTCAGCCTGGCTCAGCTCTGGCAATTGCAGACATTTGCAGAGTGAACCAGCAGATGGGCGCTTTCACTCGTTCTCTCTCTCACTCTCCACCCCCCCCTTTCCCTCTCTATCTCTGTATACCTATTAAATTAAAAAATATTTATTTGCTATTATTGTAAAAGATACTTGTTGAATTTTTCTATAGCTTTCCAAGCCAGAGATGATTGTTGTTTTAGGTATAAGTAGCAAAATAGTACCAGAAGGGAGAGAGAGAATAGAGTATCACACAAGTTGACAGGATTATAAGAAAGGAAGGTTGGCATTCTTCTACTATAGAATAAGGCACCTCCCAGAAAATGAAGAATGAGTTTGAAAAAAAATTAAGTTAGCTGGATATTTGTGAGGTCAGGACATTGCTTCCATCTCGCAAAAGGGTTTGCAGTCCAAGGAACACAGCCTAGTACCACCCAGATGAGATGATCATGGCAAGGGAAACGTCCTCGGAACTCAGCGTCCTTTTAGTAAATGTGCTAAGCTATCTATGCCAGTGTAAATTATTGGGAGTTCTAGGGTGACTGTCTCCATCCTGAACTCTTAAGTCAAAGTGTCCACTTGACTGCACTCAAACATCCATAGCAACTGGTAACACAGTTAACGAACTCTTGCCTCCACAAGAACAGAAACCTAAAGATTGTTCTACTACCAAGAAGTTGCAGTAGGTAAGAACATGAGGATAATGTATTTAGGGGAAATACATTGAAATCCCAATTGTTGTAACTGGAGACTGATTTACATATGCAGAGTAGTTCAAAATGAAGTGAGGGAGGTAGATCAGAACCATTAACTTTATTTGTGACCCAGCAGGTTGGGCTGCTGCTTGGGATGCCTACATCTCATATTAAAAGTGCTGATTCTGCTTTCCACCCAGCTTCCTGGGAGGCAGCAGATGATGGCTCAAGTGCCAATTGCTTGAACCCCTACCACTAACATGGGAGGCCCCCTTGGAGTTCCGGGTTCCTGTCTTATGCCTGACCTAGCCCTGGCTGTTGCAGGCATTTGGGGAATGAACCAGCAAATGGAAGATCTGTCTCTGTCTCCCTCTGCTGTTCTACCTTTCAAGTAGATGAAAATAAATAAAACATTTAAAACCAAAGGCTAAATTCCATGATGACAAAATAATAGATCACTGAACCCAGCCTTTCCTCTGTCTTTGCAAATAATTTGCTTCAGTGGCCTGGGGAAGTCACTTTGCCTCTTAATTATTATCACCTTGTTAGTTATGTTCTAAACACCAAATTATAGATTGCATGTAATCATATCTAAAATAGATTGGTAAATTTATCAAAAAATGTTTTTATTTTCCAAATATGTTAATAGAAATATATGTCTGATGCATAATGTTTAATGTTTGGATTTAATTCTGTACTCATTGTCACTTGGTACTATAGAAAATTATTATCATATTCACCCTGAATTATCTTTCCTTACCCAAATTTTCTTTTTTCCTAGAGCAAATCGGTCAGGAGATGCTGGAAAACCTCAGTCATGACAGAGAAAAGATACAGCGAGCACGTGAAAGAGTAAGTACAAGTGGTACAGCCTTTTCAGATGTACAGGAAGTGAGAAAACATAAAATAAAAAATCTTTATGACATATATAGCCAATAACAATTACATAAATGTAAGGGTGTAAATTCTGTGAAGAGGAAAAGGAAGGATGTGAAACAGTAAAAGGAAGCTGGCTGTTTGTATTCCTATCCCAAAATATCCTCTAGAAAGATATTTTATTTGACTGAATAGCTGCCAAAAGGTCATTGAGAGTGATTTTGGAGCATGTCAGCCTTTTGAATGGAAGCTGTAAAAATATTGATGTCACAACCTTCTTCACTTCCTTTGACTTCTATTTATGTTTTTAGTCCTTTGCACATCTATAAATTAGCTATTAATAACCCAGAAGTATGTGAAACTGTGTTAGCTTATGAGGCATTTGCTTTTATACCCAGTCCAAATATCCAGTTTAAAGCTCCTGGGATTACTTTTCCCATGTCATTTTCTGAATCTGAGAATTTTCAGAGTTTATATAGGTATCAGTTCTGTGTACTTAAGCAGTTTTATTGTTTCAATTTTCTATTATGAGATGCAATTCTTATTTTCATTGTACTACAGAAATAATCTAAATTCATGAAGTTTTGTTTGGTTTTGTTTTTAACCCTACTTTTCTCCTCCTAGCTTCGAGAAACAGATGCTAACTTGGGGAAAAGCTCCAGGATCCTGACAGGGATGTTGCGAAGGTAAGATCAAGGTAGGAACCTGTCTTCCTCTCTCTCACTTTAACTATGTTTTTCATGATTGTAATGTAGTGTTTTACAGGCTTGCAAACTCCTGCTGTTAGTACCATGTGTCATAACTCTTTTGAGACAAGAGAGCACTGCTACCAACTTTAGTTTGGACAGGGACCCATACTGAGTATCTCTGAGAAGCTCAGATTAGAGAGAAGGCCTGAGCTAGAGGGGTCACCCCAAGCTATGCAGAAAATTAGGGTTAGACATGAAGTGTTTTTTCATAGCCTGAGGAAGGCCCCGTGGCTGGAGCACACTGATTTTGTTGTGTATTTTGATAGTCTCCTTGTGATAGAGGGAATGCAGGCCTGCCATTATCAGAAGCACACTTGGTATTAGCTTTGCTCTTTCCGTTGCCTTAGTTTTCCTTTCTTTAAGGGACATTGTTTGGGAAAACATTTACATTTAATATATTTACTTAACAGTGATTTCTAAAATGTAAAGGTTATCTGAATAATCTGAATTCATATGTGCTAGCAAACACCTTTTATGTGTGTAACTAAAAAATTGATGGGAAATAGGATAAATTAAAAAATCAATGAATGAGTATATGTAAGATTGTACTTGATTGTATTCAGCATGGAATTATTGTACATTCAGAATCTAGCAAATAAGAGTATCATCTAGCATGATGATGTCACTTTGGAACTATGAATGGAAAGGTGAATGAGGACTGTTTAGAATTGTCTGTAGAATAGCTTAATTAGAATTTTAAAGAAGAAAATCTTCTTTATAGTTGATACTATAGAGACAGCTATTTAAGATTAGCTAAAGTCTTCTCTGATCGTGTATCCATGTATAACATTTTGCTAAAAGTGTCTTCTCTGTGTAAGAGAGTTACTACATAGGAACCAATCAAATGCATTCATGGCTGATGTACATTCTCTACTAACCTGATTGGTATGGAGCCTAAGGCTCCCAGGACTCTCCCAGCCATGGTGACATCATTCTTCATTGGCCCTCCTTTTCCTGAACACATGCTCCCAACTCAGAATCCTACACCACCAGATTATCTGATTAAGAGCAATATCTAAATGACCTAAGAAAAACTCAAAACCCACAGACAAAGGAAGTGGCAATCGAAAGGATTGCTTCACTGCCTAGCGACAATAAAAAAAGGAAAGGAAGTGACAGGGGGAACCTCCATCACTTCCCTGGGAGGTCTCCTGCCACCGAGCTGTAACAAATGCGCTGCGTATCTCTCCGTTTTGTCAAACCTCATTAAAGAGCCCCCCTGCTTTATATCAACCGAGCTGTCCAGAAATCATTCATCATTTTTAGTGTAAAAAAATCATGTGGTTATTTAAATAATATCATATTAATGTTAAAGTTCAGCTGTCATTTAATGGTATGACTTAATCAGATGTAGCATTTAGGAAAAATAGTTTATGCAGGCTCAATGTGGCTTTCAGGTTGGCAGACTCAAATAAGGATTTATGGGCTTCTAAACCAATGTATTTCTGTCCATGTTTCTGCTTGATGTACCTCACCCTTTAGTGCAGGACACTGCAGACAGTTATTCCAAGAAATAAAACATCTCCTCATATTGTGTTTGAATAAATTTGCAAGTCATTTAGGGAGCGTGAAGCACAGACAACTTCTGCAGCCTTTGACAGAGCTTTCTGTAGGGAAGTCATTCGAACGCCGTTGTTTACAAAGCGCACAGAAGAAAACTACTCGGTGAAATCTACCTGGGGTTCACTTTGTAGGCGTACTCAGCCAATCACTAACTCATCTCCTTTTGGGAGATGTCTTGAGTATGAACGGAAATAAAGATGCCCAGATGGACATCACTTGGCCGGGTATGCCTGCACCAAAGAAGCTGAAGTCCATGTGTACCTGTGTATCTGATAGTGTTTGTAGCAAATCGCAGCTGGGACTTGGGAATCAGCCATGATCTCCAGGTCCTTTTAATCAGTGCTGTAACCTAACTGGGTCCCTGGGAACCAAATGCAGCTCCTAGTTTCATTTTAGTTTCTATTTGTCATACTACACAATATACAGTTTATTTTGGACTGGGGAAGAGGCAAAAGCATTCTACCAGCCTCTTCATTATTTGGGGTAATTCTCTGGAAAGGCAGCCTAGAGAAAAGGAACCAGGGTTGACCCACCAGAGTCTTCAATTTAGTGTTCTGATGTTGCTGCTTCTGTCACACCCTTCCTGTTCACACGCCATTTGCCTGTTGCGTTCCAGAGCCATTATTTCAGAAAAAGAAGGCACATTCCCTTACTCATGTTCTTACCAAAGCTGCATGGCTGTGTCTTGTGTCAACAGGTGCTTCTGGTTTAAGAAAGCTTGGAATATGGGACTGTGTGTGCATCTGTCCCCCTCACAAATGTAAGAAAGGAAAGAATGTCCTCTTTGTGCGTGTAGGGGTTTACCTGCCAAACATAAGCTTTCTTATTTTCACATGACAAATTGTGTGTGACTGAGAATACTTAAATATTCTACAACATACCAAACCAAGGAATTGCTTTATTTAAAAGAAAGATTACCAGTTGTTTTTAATTTGTGAGACTTGAAGCGGTTTTAAATTTGTGAATCGAGTGGACGTGGCATGGGCAGCATGGTGTAGCTCGGTCCCTCATCGGGGTCGTTTGCTGGAGACAGAGGTGAAATCAGTGTGCCATGAATGTCGCCATCAGCACTCTGTCTACGTGTCATCTGCATAACTGACCACAAGCAAATGGGGAAGCGAAAGCGAGTGAGCAAGTATTAGCAAGCAGCCACTAGCTCATGCTTTCTGATCCTGTTAATTGCAAATGAGGGAAATATCTCTCCCTTCCTTCCTTCCTTCCTTTCTCCCTCCCTCCTTACCCTCCTCCTTCCTTTTCTTTCTTCTGCTTATTCATTTCCTCGGTAAATATTTAATGCCCGTGTGCCAGGGCTGGGGATCCTGAAATGGAACCAATTTTATCCTTGTCTGCAGAGTGCTTCAGTGTAAGAGAGAATGTGTAGATAAAACCGTGCACTGGGAATTCATAGAATTATCTAATTCTCAAGGAAGCTATTAAAGATTCTGCAATGCTGACTAATCCTTGCCAATCACTAAAAAAGAAACCAGGAAAACAAATAACCAGTAGAAAATGTGCTTTAGATCACTAGAAAACCAATGTGTTTGAGAAAAAAATTAGGGAAGCAGGAGATGATTTATGGAATCATAACACAAACAAAGTTTTGAAAGGAACTAAAGTATGCCGAAAACATTGAAAGGAAATTATTCTTCAAATGAACTATATTATATAACCAAAAAAAGGAAAACAAAGGAGAAAATCAGTCCTTTCAACATTATAATAGTAAAACTTGACATCAGAACACAGAGAAAGCTGGTTTTCTGGGAAGTAATTTGTTTTCTACCTTGACATAAGATGGAGAGCTACCTAGGGACAAGCTATTCATTTCCTGACTCTGCAGACAGACTTTAACTAAAGTGGAATTCAGATAATAATGAAAATGGTCATGAAACAAATGACCATTCATGTGGTAACTAGAGCCAAGAAACGGATTTTTCATTAACTTTCACAAATTTGGTGGTTATAATTGGTTGTCTTAATGTGCCACAAGTGTCACTGTGGAGCTTAAATGCCTCTCCCCATGTGTGTCCACTTGTGTGTGTGTTTCTTTGTGCTTTTTTTTTGCCTAGCCATTTGACTGAGAAGTCTTATGGTAGTCAGTGAAAATGAAATCAGATATTCTCAAGATTTTTAGCCAGTAAAAAAAGGAAATCATGCTTCTATTTCCCTTTACCTCTCAAGAGTTAATAATTAATCAGTAGTAGTCTATCTGCTTCTAAAAGTATCTGAAGGATTCCTCAGGAGTGTAACAAACTTATAATTTGAGAGCTCCTTTGACATAAATTTGGAGGACTGGATACAACTTACACTGATGCATGTCTGCATTGCAAATGCTGGCAAAAGGCTTACAAAAAGGAATATTGTATATAATATTTTTGAAAAGGCCTTTTTTTGTACAACAATCTCAACATAAAACAATTTACTCTCCCTCATACTACGTGTGTTTGCCCCAACTATTTGCATACATGCAATCCTAATATTTTCTTAAAAAAGTGAATTTTGTTTTATTCTTCCAGCCGGAATGTGGCAAATTCTTTCCCTATGGAGCTGCTGAGAGGTCTTTTGTAACTAATCTGTAATGTAAACAAAGCAGAAATTATATGCTGTTGACCTGGCTAACACTACCGTACAATATGGCTTTACAACTGTGGTAGAGTTATATCAGAGCCTATCTGGGGAATAATTACTACCTGTCATTGTTATCACATTTTACATTTTAACACAGTCTTGTTACTTTGGTAGAATGACAGATAAAACATCTGGAAAACTTGAATGTCCTGTCAGAATGATCCCTAAGAGTCAACAGACCAGGAATACAATGCAAGATCTGTAAGCAATAGAAAAGTGAATTTTCAAATAAGCAGGTTTTTTAAAAAAAAAGAAGTATTTTATTTATTTGAAAGAACGAGATAGAGCCAGAGAGAGAGAGGTCTTCTGTTTTGTTGGTTCACTCCCCAAATGACCGCAATACCCAGAGCTGAGCTAACCCAAAGCCAGGAACCAGGAGCTTCTTCTTCCGGGTCTGCCACACGGGTGCAGGGGCCCAAGCACTTGGGCCATCTTCTGCTGCTTTCCCAGGCCATTACAGAGAGCTAGATCAAAAGTAGAGCATCCAGGACAAGAACCAGCAGCCATATGGGATGCCAGTGCTGCAGGCTGGGGCTTTTACCCACTTTGCCATAGCACCAGCCCCCAAATAAACAGCTTTTAAATATGCCATGAATAAGTTTTTAAGGTTCTTTAGGAGTTCATTCGTTTTTTCATCCTCATTTTGCCACAAAACATTTTTGTTGTATTTTAGTTGTTCTTATTACAGTGCTGATGACTCAACACTAGAGAGTTTCCAGGACTTATGAGAAAAATGTCCTTGAAAATTT